GCGCCCAAGAATAAGTCGAGCGAGTGGAGAAAGACGCCTGTCGTGCGAACAGACCCATTTACCAGACCAGGAAAGAGACACCCTGCCACACTGAACAGGGCTAAGGTTATGTGGTGCTCCACGGCAGACACCCTCAAAAGGGTCTCAAGGCACCCCGGGGTGCTGCGGCCACCGGGTTGGGAATCACTTGGCTGTCTGAATGAAGTTGCCTCAGGAATGAAATTCCAACGTGGAGCAGGCCGGATACCCTGCCCACCAGGCCAGTGCTCGGGTGCATCTCCACAGTGTCCCCAAAAAAAGACAGCAAAGGCATGTTTTCCCTTCTGGGCATTAATGCTCAACCTTTGTAGACTTAAGGAACCATTTGTTTTACAACTACAGAAAAATAATGCATCAATTTCTTTCCATTGCAAGGCACTCAAAGAGACCACAGCGGGTCAGACTGTTTTTAATGCTGGAATCCTATATGAAATCTCTGGGTTTTTCCTGTGCATCGTGTTTGCGCACCTGTGGCACCCTTGCAAGGATCCCAAGGCACCCTGGTTGAGAATCACTGCGTTAGGAATACCTCACATTCACTGCAAGGAAGCTTCTTGTCCGTGGCCATTCAGGAGACCCGATCCATGGTGTTATTTGTCTTAATGAGGCGAAGCAGAAGGACGCAAGACATTGGTGGTCATTTCTTAAGATGGGAGGTTGCTTAAGTGTCTTTTGTACCCGCTATATTACCTTGAGCAGGCAAATATTTAACTCCTGGAAGTTTTAACAATACTCAGGCAGGCGAGTCATGTTTTGCTTTGTTCATCTAACAGTCCACGGTTCTTCCTTGCCTCTTCTGTAGGGAGACGTGGGGTTGACAACATCTCTTCCCACTGGCATCCTGGCCAGCTGGTAGAAGTATGTTCCTGTAGTTATGGGAGAGTCACCGGGATAAGACTCATCTTCTCTGCTTGATTAATACACCCAGCTTAATATTATATCTCACATTCATTTTCTTTTTCAGAACTTAAATAAATGCCTGTCCATCCCCTTTGGCACATCCCAAACAAAACACCTTACATTTTGCAATAGATGGCCCATCCTCTGGGATATGAGTGAACTAAGTCCTGAGTTTCATCCACTTTGTCAATAATTTCAAATAATCTTTCCAACTCACACAACACCTTTGATCCTGTCTTTCCTTCCCTCCTCATATTGTAGCAGCATCCTAAGTACCATGAAGCACCCTCAATTTGAAAAGTGACATTTTGACCAAAACATGTTTCCTTGGATGCCTCCCGATATCTGCCAAGTCCACCGAAATTCATTCAGTTATCTGAACTCTCCATTATTCCAGATGGCTTCAGTGTCCCCTGTAATACTGAGATACTGTATGAGATGGTTCTTTTTATCTATTCTTGGCTGTGGATCAAATGTTATGCAGTTCACTAGACTGCACGAGAAAAAGGATCTGAACTCCACCGTTTCTTCTTTTACAAGTTAACAGCTTCCAGAAGACAAGGTGCTGGCACCTTGATTACACACCCTTCTGGACATAGCAGAATGAGCCAGTCATTCTTGTTTGAACCCCCTTTGCTACTGCAAACACAGAGGGTTAATTCTGGCTCTAGTGAAATCGATGGGAGTTTTATCATTCATTCCACTAGGGCCATGATAACATCCTCAAGGGACCCCTCTAGCCCTGCATCAGGAAGGCAGCCTTTGCATGTGTCTTAACTGGAGCAGGCCCTGCCTGGCCTGTGAGCACTCCACTCCCAAAGATTAGTCCTTTACACATTTCATAAGGCATGGTGCATTGATACCATGCATGGGTTCCCAGGAAATTATTTGTTTCATCCAAACCATAGGTGTATGATGTAGTTTAGATTGCTACGCTCATCATCAGATCTGAACCAAGGTAACAATTAGCTATGTTAGAAGTCATACCAAAGGCAGGGTAAAGATGTGCTTTATAGACTGACTGAATCAGCGATGCATAAACTTTTGTGAGCCACATCTCTGATGAAGTGAACCATGGCTCCTGAAAGCTTATGCATCTTTGATTCAGTTAGTTGATAAGGGGCACCTACCCTGCCTTCATGACACCCGTTTGGAGAGAAGTTCACTTACAAAGGACTGATCTGAAGGCAGTTTTAAAGCACCTACCAGCACCGTGTGACATGTTGTATGGCACTGAATACAAAACAACTCTGTTCAAGTTAAGTTGGTGCTAAAATGGTCCAAGGCCAAGAAATTCAACTTACCACAGATTTTCCATCTTTAATGAACTGTGGGTTAAATATCAAATAAAACCTCACAGAGGTGTTAGTTAAGGGTAGACTTGTGGCTCAAACTGACTTTTTTTTGGTGGTTTGTTAAACCTTTAAAGTTATTAAAATATTTGTTTTCTTCCCCACCTTTTGAAAAAACATAGTTTTAAAACCTCTTACACGGAGACTTGTACAACACATCTTTGTTACTTGGAAGTCCATAATGAGCCCAGTGTCAGAGGCAGAATATTCAAGGTAGCTATTTTCTAGGAGTTTGTACTCCAGGCCAGGATTAAGACACTCTTTTTGTTGGGTAATAAAACCATTGAAAGTGGGATTTCTTTTTTTGTTAACAAGGTTCGTAACTCAACCCTTCTTGTAGTGTACAGTATTTCAATAAATAACTATTAATGCCCATTCATGGGAGATTCTGCATGCTGCATATTCATTTGGCTCAATCATATCTACTTTACCTCTACTCATATTTTTCAATAGCACTATCTTAATAATCATGGGCTTCTTAAAAATTGTAGCATTTGGGCTTGGGTTGAAAGCTTTTCAGCCTGCTGATTAATTACTTTCTATAGTAAAACCCATTTTCATTTTACTCAGTGGGAACTGAGTATCCAGATCCCTTTGATGCCTTTATAGATTTGATGAAAAGGTTCAGTGATCTTCCCAGAACTGACTGAGATGTTACACTTTGTTCAATTTAAAACAGGAAAGGCTTTTTTAACCATTGTTATTTTTTCCCCTCGGGAGTCTTGTCTACACTAAGAAATTTACTGTTTCCAAAAAACAAATCCTCTTGTTTGACCCTTTCTTGTAAGGAAACATACTATGGCAGTGAAAAATAACATGTTCAGGACTGATACAACCAGACCTTTTTTTTCTTCTCACTTTTAGCTTGTGGAACTCATTGCCTAAAGATTTTGTGGAGGTTGAAAACTTACTGGAATTCAGAATAGGATAGAGCGTCAACATGGTCAATGAGCATGAGAGAGGCAGAACAGGAAGGATGACAATATTTTGGGAGGGATACAATCCTGCCTGCTTTGGGGCATCAATTGACTTCCAACTAATGGAGGTAAGGAAGCATTCTTTTCCTGGAGACAAGTTATTCCATAGTTGAAATGTTTCTTACATCTTTTAAAGCATTTAATTCTGCTTAATGTAGAAGACAAGATAACAAACCTAAATGTGCTCCTGGTTCCATCTGATGTGACAACTCATGATCCTATGACCAATTACCCTTGCTTACAAGTAGCTCTTTGCAAACAGGCTGCAAAACTCCAGAGAGCTCAGCAGAGGCAGTCTCCCTATTCTCAGCTCTGGTGCCCCATGGTACAGTAGCCCCATGAAGAACAATCAAAGGAAAATCCTGCTCAGCCCCTGCAGCTCTTGAGCATGCTCATTTCGTCTGTGGGGCATGATCACTGCAGACAGAATTTAGGAACTCCAGCAAGACTCAGCTGAGCATGGGCGAGCTATGATTTTCCAAGGTCTGTTTGGTGCTAATCGGGGCAGGTTTCATAAAGACAGCAAAAAGTATGTTTCTGACACCAGGGAGATGTCTCTCCTAAATTTCAAATCCCTGATCCAAACCATAGCCAGGGAGGAGAAGGTGAAGGGTAAGAGTTTCTCGATAGAATGCCTATAAAAGATGTGGTTTTCTAACATGAGCAAAACAACTTCTTTTTTTTTCCTCCCAGCCTTGCTCTGAGGAACAGCTGAGCCATTTTAGCTGAACCTTAAATAAATAAATAAATAAATAAAAATCAGTTCAAGGCAGATACCCGCGATGGAAAATTTCAACCCAAATGCTTCAAATTTGGCAAAGATATAGGCAATTGAAAACAGGGTTTAAAGCAAGAGATGTCAAGTTGCTTTAGGTAGCTCTGCCTATAATAAAACAAACAGGCATTTATACCCACTCCAGCAAATAAGCTTGTGCCAAATTCTCAGTTTTCTTTTCCTGAGAGGTTTTCTTTGTCACAAATGACTGTCTTTTTAGCAGGAAAAAAGCTGTGTATTGACCTTATTCAGGCATGCTATATTACAGAAAAAGAAGGTGGAGAGGGAAAAGACCGGGGTGATTCAGTACAGTGACTAAAACTGTGACAAAGAGAATTACCAGACCAGAAGTTCAAAGGTATACTTACCCAGTACTATTCACCTTCATCACAAGAGTATCCATACTGCCATGAGTTATGTATTTTAATACAGTATCTGTCTTAAACTAATCTTCTGTAGATTAAATTCATTACAAAAAGGTCAGAAACTAGATAAAGGCACTGCCAAAAGCACCTTATTAATAATATCTGTGTCTCATGTTCTGAACAGCCTTGGAAGGGGGGAATGCTCTGAGTGTGACTGGAACAACAATACACACCCACTCTGAGTACAGCACATTAACAAAAGCTTAATTAATGCTAGATGCTTTCAATAGGCTGGTTGTAGGTATGCACTAACATCTTTCTTTGAATTGCAACACGAATCAAACAAATAGTGCAGAACATCAAGGATTCAGCTTCAAACTTCAGGAAACAAACGGATAGGTTTTGCCACAACAACAAAATGGGGTTTCTCAGCATAGGCATGCAGACTTGCCCTTTCCTGATACCCATGTCCACAGTATAATCCGTGCCAAGCTACATTAACAACATAGCTGATAGATCCAAACATTTTAGTGACGTGCAGTAGAGGTTTAATAAAAGAGCTACCAAATTAACAAGGGGCCCCGTTTTTTTTGCAAGAAGTCTTTTTCTTTTTTTGCATTAAGTTCCCTTCTGCAGTGGTTGTGCACACAGGATGTTACACACAGATTGGAAGCCAAGGCTCCAGGTTTCTGTTCCTGGCTATCCCACTAATTTGCTGTATGGCCTTGGCCAATTCACTTATCCTTTCTGAGCTATTGCATACCCAGCTGTAAACTGAAGGCAGTATTTACAGGATATCCTTCACTGGGAATCTTAATTTAGGCCCAAACCTGTACTACGCATGCCAATGGGAATTTAGAGTGCTAGAGATTTGAGGTTCTCAGCTTAAAATTTTTAGTCTCATTCCTGCTTACAACTTTATTTTCTAGTTTTAAAACAGACCCTTCCTCTCTTCCAATTTCCTTTTAAGAAGGAACCTGAAGTTTCAGCAAAGTGCTCTCTCGTGGAATACAAAAATAGCTTGACCACAGCAGTGGAAGGGGGTGAAGGAAGTCTGTGAGAGGCCCTGCCACTGACTGTTATTCCTCCAGAATTTTGTTCCTGCATATCCATTTCTGTCTTCTTTTTTAATAAAACACATACTGTATTTATAGAATGATAAAACATTTCTATATAAGGCAGCAGCAACAGGAAGCTGGCTCGAAGCAGAATTCCTATGCTAAAAAAGCACCCATTCCAGGAAGGCACCACTTCCAAGTGGGATTTCTCCCGCATACCAATCTGTACCCACATGCAGAAGCAGAGCAGCGGTGTAACAGTGCTTTTCTCCGAGAGATGGTTGTCTGCCTGTGATCCAGCAGGCAGGAACGCTGATCCACTCCTGCAGGAAGAAGACAAGACAGATAAGAGCTTAGAGGGGAAAAAAGGGCAGAGGGAGGCAGCAGCAGTTAAAAATAGAGATGAAAAATGAGAGAAGAGAGGCAAGAAGAAAACAGGGAGAAAACTAGGAGCACTAAGGAGAGAAGAGAAAGGGAACAAAGACAAAGTGAAACCATGCACCTAGGAGCGAGAGCTCTTGACAGTCCCTGACAGGAGTAAGTACCCCACGAAGGGCAGAGGAAAGTGCAACACCTACCCCTACATTTTTAGCATCCTGTCTCTATTGCTGCCACTACATTTAAGGTATTTCTGGCCTATCACAGCCTGTTACACAGGGTTACTGCCAGGTAATGGACCACACAAAAAGGGCTGGATTATTTGCGTTAAGGAAAGAAAGGTATAGGTGGGGAGAAGGAGGTAAGAAAAAAAAAATTGAAGCCCAACTAGAGTGGAAAGGGGATTGCTTCTCATTAGCTGCTATAATGCTGCTAGTCTTCCAGAAGACATTTTGGTCAAGGCTCCCTCAACTCCTTACCATCCCTACCAAATGTGGGTGCTCAGAAACTTCCAGCAGGCTTGGCTGTCTGTCTTGACCTCTCCTCTACGCACCTCCTAGCCCCCGTTTCCTTCTGAATCAGGCTCTGCTCTTGGCCCTGGGCTGCATTTGGCTCCTAGAGAGAAGTATTCACACACGATGGCAGCCTGAGAAAAACGTTGAGAAGGAATTAAAGACATCTCTGTTGAAATAAACATCTGCTCTACGTTCTGTATCATGGCAACGGCGCTCACAAAAAGTATGGGCAGAACTCCAAGGGCTGCATGGCAAATCCGGGCTATCGCTACCTGTTGAAAACAGGCTGAGAAAGCTGTTTCTGTGCTGGCGGAGCATAGACGGCACTGCTCAGGAAGGCAACAGTTCCTTAAAGGAGGGACATAAGATTACAACCAGGAGAACATGGCTAAGAAATCTGTTACCTCTTCAGTGACCCCACACAGGCCATAAAGAGATGAGGAGACTCCTGCATACAATATAATTCATTTACATGCCTATCAGATAAACACATCCTCCTCCTCTCAACTGCATAACAGGAGACTGGTCCCGATCTGTTGCTTAGCACTTATATTGCAACAAACACCAGTCATCTGCCTATCAGGCCCATAATTACTTAAGTGCATAGGAACGCTTTGCGCTTTTTTTGAGTTAATCCAATGCAAGATATCAGATTTACCCGAAGACTCTTGTCTGCCTATGTCCTTAGACCAACATGGCTACAACCTACACCCCTGGGAGCACTTTGCAAGCTTTTGGGTACAAACACCCTTCTTGCAAAGAACAATTTTTCCAACTATTTAGTTGGTCTAGTAAAAGATATCACATCTACCCAAAGACCCTTGTCTGCATATATCCTTAGATCAACAGGGCTGCGACCAACAACCCTACAGGACTCCGCAAAAATGAGATAAGTAGGGAAAACAAAAGAATTGTCTTCCCACTCAGCAGGTGATGATAAGGAGGGGAGCCTGCTGGCAAAACAGATTGAAGTGTGCTTTTCCACTCTGAAAAAAACCCCAGTCACTTAAGGATGGATGTCTTCTTCCTCATCAGACCTGTTCTCCTCTGTGTATTCAGTCATGAACTAACAGCTGACCTCTTCAACTCACTGACAAGAGTGTTTCTAGCTTTACATTCCTGTTTAACTAAAGGGACCCGTTCTGTGCTCAACAGGGGATTGGCTTTCTACGTTCCAGGTGATTAAACTGGAGCCCTGGGCTTTTAAAACCCTGCCTACATTTTCACAGGGTGGTCTGTTACCCAAAACCCCTTAAAGAAAGAAACGCAGGGCTTTCCTGGGAGAGGGAACAGAACCATTTTTGTTTTAGGTGTGACTGATCTTCCTCCCAGCAGTGATTAGCAAAAACAGGCCCCTCATCGAGAGCTTCCAAGGGGAAGAGATGGCTGGTAAAAAGTTTACTCGGTTGTTAACAAGAAGCTTGTGCACAAGGGGTAAATAGAGCACAGCTCACAGGAAAAATGTCCTGAAGCCACTGTACTGTGGGAGGCACAGATTTAGCGCTTGTAGCCTAGTCTCTCATTGACTAGACTGATGGAAAGGAAAGCAGCCGATAAGCAGATTTTGGCTATGACACCTGGCCTCCAAGGGGAGGGAAGCGGAGCAGGGGAAAACCAGAAGCCCCTCAAGGTGCCTCAGAGACTCTCCCTCTGCCTGAAGAAGGGTGATTGCACCCAAAAGCTTGCAAAGAACAATTTTTCCAACTACTTAGTTGGTCTATAAAAGATAGCACATCTACCCAAAGAACCTTGTTTGCCTGTGTCCTTAGACCAACACAGCTACAGCCAACACCTCAGGGACAGTAAGGAACTGGAGTGGGGGAAGGAGAGATTAAACGATTCCCAAGAGGAGGAGGAGAGATTTGCTAACTTCATAACACAATGGGGGAAACAGGCAACCCAGAAATTCCTATCGTCTTTCTTTCAAAATAAGAGATGAAAGGAGTCTCATAAACCAGCTGCTATGCACTGAGCCTGCAAGTAATACAACCAAAGGGCTTCCTGACTGCAGTGAGAGGCCAGGCAATGCATCTTCAGGGCAGGAGCACAAAACCACTGCAGGCTGTCTGCAGAGGGGAGGATCTGCTAGGCTAGGGCCTTTGTGTGCAGACCTCTGCAGATCCATGGCCCTCTATTGCTGTCGCTGGAGCCCTGCACGGAACAAGGAGCTGCCCCCATGGGTGGTCAGGCCATGGCCCACATGAGTGCAGCAGGCAGAGAAGGCAGCTCCAGGGCCAGTGGTATCTGGCTGGAGGAGCCCCAGCTGTTTTGGGTGAATGCAATACAACACCTTTGCAAAGAGAGCTGCGTGGAGGGTCCAGTAAAGTCTACAGGGGTCCAGTGGGCCTGACGGGTTGGGTATCCATTTTTTTATGTCATTTTTTTCCGCTGATGAAGATGTGCACTGAAAAGCAAATCGCTTGGTAGCACCCTTCTCTCCTGGCTTTGCTTCAGCATCTCTTGCTCACCCGTCCAATGGCTGCATGCATTCATTTAATTCCCGAGCTCCGAGGAGCCAGGCATGGAAGGCCAGAATGCCGAGGTTCAGTGGGGAAAGCAACAACACGACCTGTGGTCCAGAAGCCCGCGTCTATAAAATATGCAAAGCTCGATGCACCTGCGTCTGGACGAGCGCTTGTACTTCCTTAGCTGCCGGGAAAGTTAATAGATCAGTCATTAAAATGTGTCACAGTGAGAGAGGCACATCGACAATCCCCTGCCGAGGCAGGCCAGCGAGGAGCTGTGTACACACAGTCCAGGAAACTGCCATTGCAAAGATTAAACCTCGTGGCATGTATGAGTGAGAAAGGGAAATAAAGAAAAAGAGGAAGTCTCACAAAGCCCCATCCCCATTCACTGTTAATGAGCTGCTGATTGCATGGGCCATTGGTTTCTTCTTTCTTAACGTGAATGAGGAGCAGCAGCAAACCAGAGAGCCAGAAAGAAAACCCAAGGGATGTGACAGGAGTACACTCCAGAGGCTGCTCTTCCTGCTTGGTTAGAAAAGATTGCCACAGGGCAAGATGTTTGCTAGGCTGAATCAGACATAAATGGGAGTCAGGGGGTCCGTAGAGAAAGAGAAGAAAAGAAGCCGGAGCAGTGGAGCAGACTTAAACTTTCATAAGAGGGAAGTGGGGAAAGCTTGTTTATGTGCCGTTGTGCCCGGAAGTCCTGTGACTAACCCTATTTCACACACTGCAGTTATGCACCAGGATTGTCTTTATTGCTCACAAGGAAAAACTTACAGGGCAGCTGTAGGAGGGAAGGACTCAGTGTCCTTCGGGAGCATTACATTACATTTCTTCAGAAAACCCCTCTCCTCCGGGCCTGCCTGCCCAGCTGCAACTGCAGTGCAGAGACTGGTGGGTGCATCTGGTAACACAGCTGATGACCCGGCCAGAGCCGATGTGTGTGCTCCAGGAGTACCACAGCTTCTTGGGAGGCTGAAGAAAAAAAGACAAGGCCCTGTAATAATTATTCCATGACAGAGCACACAGAGCCCTGCCATGCTGCAGAGCAGCCCACCCTGCCTGTCTTCTCTCTCCCCATCCACCCTTTATATTATTTGAGCCACATTGATGCTCCTGACTTTGCACACGAGGGGGGTGATGCTGTAGCACTGTCATGGCTTTAGAGAGTGTTTGTGGCTCCATATGGAAAAAAAAGTTCATTTTAGAAAGGTCCAGTAACTATTTAGGCTCTGAAGGTCTCTGAAAAACTTTTTGCAATTCACCTAAGGAATCTGGCAGCTAGAAAACCTTGCAGAAAAAGAAACCCCCCACAAACACAGGCCAGATATGGCATGCCCCTTTGCTTTAGGTCTTTGCTTTCTTTCCAAGAAGGTGGCAGGGGTAGGCATGGCATTCCTCTGGAGGAGCATGTAACCAGAGCCCAGCAAAACACCAGTTTCACGTGTGCTTTCACACACAGACTTGATGGCAGCAGGGTTTTACCACCAAGCAATTTGCATCACAATATGCAGCTGTTGCTTTATTTATGGCACAAGCAGCATAGCCAAGGAGTCATTTGCCTGCAGCACAAATGGGCCGAGGTGAGCATTGTCACCTCTCGTGGCTCTTCTGTGTTCACACTGTGTCTCTCTGCCAACGTGGGCTTGGTCAGAACCACCTCGCCATGGTCACTGCCCCACTGGCCATGCCCAAAGCCCCGCAATGCTGGGATGAATCCTACCCCCACAGCTGGGCTGGTGGAAGTCCCCTTTCCAAGTGACACAAGCTACACCAGGAAATGCCACTCTTATTCCAAGATAAGACTGACCACACCTGGAGTCACACCAGTCATTCCTGCCTTGCTCCGTGTGCAACAGGGAAAAGTTCACACTGCTGATTTGGCATTGAAAATGGACGGAATCTCACTTTCACCCTTGTAAAGGGCAATCCCAGTCTTGTCCTTGAAGTCCCTCTTCCTCGGTTTGGTAGAAGAGCAGACATCGGCAGTCAAGTACGATGCCATGCTTGACTTTGTAGACTTCTCCACTAGCCCCTCTGGTCTGGGTGTTTCACCGCATTGTATCCAGGCCACAGCAGTTTCCACTTCTTCCACGGTAGATGACAAGGCGATAGAGTCACAGGAGCTGCAGGCATCTCAAAGGCCACTCACACAACCCCCTGCACAGATACAGGATGTACTGCTCCTACACCACCGCAGACATATGCTTTCCCAGCCTCTGCTCCGACAGCTTTGGTGAAGGACGTGCTGAATCTCTCCTCGGCAGTGATTCAAGCTGCCACTCTTCAGCCCCTTGGAAAGCCAGGGCATCCTCTCCGCACCTTATTTCTTGGGTCATTCACATGGCACGGGAGCTGCTCAGTGGGGCTTACAGACTCAGCTCCCTGCTGCCGGGGCATTGGCAGGCCCTTTGCAAGACCAGGTGAGCTGCCAGCAGGCATTTGACTGGAAGTCACGTGGACCAGGCTGGTAGAATGATACGAGAAAGTGATGCTGCTCCATTTCCTCGTGTCGACAAGCCCTAAACATGCTCTTGCTCATTTGCAATGATCATGCCAAAGGCCACATGCAGTTCTTAGTATGCACAACCCTGACTCCCTTTTGCAGCTGTGGTTTGACCTGGCCTGGACCGGAGGCAGGTCTTTCTAGAGCAAAGGTTGCCTGTTGCGGACAGTCCT